TGTGTAGATCTCCTTTAGGGTAACCGGAAAGCACAGACTCGTGTAGCCTCTTCGCGCGCGAGTGCTCTTTCATCGTCAGGCAGCTGCGTAGTCGGAAAGCGCAGATGGGTTTCGCCAACGTCCCCGCGCACTCATCAACCGAACAGTTTCCCCTCCACCCCGCCTGTCTCCCTCCACCCCGCCAGTCTCTCCCGCTTCACCGACCATCCTTGCTCTTTTTCCCCCTTTCCCCCTTTTCCCCCTTTTCCACACTCACCTCTCCTCCCTGACTCCCTGCACAGCTCTCCCGTTCCGCCAATCCCTTGTTTCCCCCTGTTGCCTGCACAGTTTTTCGCGCCTTCCCTCGCCTCGAACTTTTCCCCGATCGCTTCCTCCGAACCTGTTCACGCGCTCTCCCCCGTGTTCCCGATCCGCGACTCCCTCCCTCCGCTTTCCTCCCCCGCTACCCTCCCCGTGCTTTTCACAGCTGGTTTCCATCCAATCAAAATACTCGTTCCTTCCACAGTCCCTTCGTGTCGCTTTCTGTCTGCTGCCTCGGAACCATTCCAGAAGAGTTGAGCTTCTCCATTCTTCAGCATTTTCTTGTCCGCCAAAATCTAGGTCTTTAGCTCCTATTTTCTGAGTACTTCACGACGTTGAGAGTCCTCGGCTATGTCGGGATTCACCACGAAGGGCCGGCCGATAGTCCCATCGTTCGGCCTATGGCGAACCGGCGGCAGCGAGGGTCCGACAGACGCATCGTCAATCTCTCAGGTGTTTCGGGAGGCGGGTAAGAAAGCACTGCAGGCGAAGCAGCAGCAGCAGCTGGCGTTAGAACCGTACGAGGATAGCGAGAAGACCGCTATTAACGGACCTTTCTCCTCTTCTTCCTCCTCATCGTCCTCTGCTGCTACCCACCCTTCCTCTGATTCCCATTCCTCTTCCGCGTCCCACCCCCCGGTACCATCCCACCCTTCCACTGCGCCGTACCCTGCCATAGACCCATACCCTTCCGCAGCAGCCAACTCGTTCGTCCTGTCAATACCGCTTCAAGCAGGACCTAAAAACGCCACACACTCACCAACTTCTGAGTCGACTCAAAAATCGCTTCAAGCAGGACCTAAGAATGGCACCCATTCTCCAACCTCTCAAGTCCACCCCACCGCACCCGAATCAAGTCCGATCCTTTCGCCTCGCCATGCTCTCGCGTCGTCTCCCACGCGCCTCGATCCCTCTAAAAACCCGACCTTGGAGTCGCACCCTGCCACGGCTCGCTCTCCGCACTCGTCGCCGCACCCTCCGGCGTTTTCAATCAAAGCGACCGTCGCGTCGCTCGTGGGGAGCGTCAACCTGCTCAGCCTGAGCGACAGCTACGCTGCCGGCGACGCGTCGACAATATCCGCCGTGTTTCGCGACAAGAAGAAGAAAATCCTGCAGGAGAAGCAGCAGCAGAAAGGGCTGTTGCTCCTCTCTCCCACACGCGAAGACCCGTCCCCTCCCTCAGGTGCTCCTCCAGGTGCTTATTCAGGTGCCATTCCTAGTAAAACCGAGCCTTCACCTGCGAGGGCTGTACCGGCTGCGGAGTCCCTTTCTCTGCTCAGCCTGAGCGACAGTTACGCCGCAGGCGACGCGTCGACGATATCCGCCGTGTTTCGCGACAAGAAGAAGAAGATTCTGCAGGAGAAGCAGCAAAAGGGTTTCGCTCTCTCCCCCACTCGAGAACCGGCTGCCGTTGATGCTGCTCAATCTTCTCATGCTGAGACGGTTCAACGGTCATCTGTTGAGGCTGCTCAACGGTCCCCCCCGCGAAACTCATGGTCGGGAAACTTGAACGCCGTGCACCCGGAAACTCCAGCGGTAGTTCCCACGTGGCATCCTCATCAGCTTCAAGGCGATCCGTCTGACGTGGACTCAGACGCGTCGACGATTTCTCTAGTTTTCCGGAATATGCGACACAAGGCGCGGCAAGAGCGGCAGGAGCGGGAATCAAAGGAGGCTGGAGTTGACGTGAGAGTACAAGCGAGCACAGGAGCACAAGAGCTAGCAGCAGTAGAATCAAGAGCAACAGGCGTAGCAGCAACGGCGTTAGCAGAAGCAGAAGCAGCAGGTCTAGCCGCAGAGGGCGAAGCGTATCCCGCCTCGCCAATACACGCTCTCGCGAGCCCCAACCGTCCCGAATCCAACCAACCAGCCGTAGATCTCTGGCCGTCTAGCTCGCCGGCCGCAGCAGCAGGGCCGGCGGGGGAGAACGTGTCGCTAGTGTTTTGGTCGCGGCAGCAGGAAGGGCAATCTGGGGAAGCCGCCAAGACGGCGAAGTTTGGAGAGAGAATCCGGAAGAGTGCAGGCGACGGTGAGGGGAATGCTGTGGGAAGTACTGCGGAAGGAGCTGGGATAGTGAGGGGAGCAGGAGGAGGAGGAGAAGGCGAGCTTGAGGCGTCGTTTAGAGCGTCGCACCCGCCTCAATCCGCGGCGCATGGGACGGCGCATGAAGGAGCGCAGACGACGGGGGTAGGGTCGGCGCAGGCGGCGGAGGGAGCGGAGGGGGCGGAGGGGGCGGAGGGGACACAGGCGGAGGAAATCGACGAGGACGTGTTGCACGCGTGCGTGGATCCCGCGTACGCGGACCCGCGGCGGCAGTTCATGTCCAACCCCACGTGCTCGCTGGACGAGGCGTTTGACGCCATCCTGCAGAACATGGATAGCGGCCCGCTAGGCGCTGACGCGCGAGCCATGGCTCAGGTGAGATAGAAGACAGGTTGAACTGTTGACTTGACGCTCTATACAAACGAACCCCACGTGGAACGTGCTCGCTGGACGAGACCTTTGACGCCATCCTGCAGAACATGCCCGATATTGGCCCGCTCGGGGGTGAAGCCAGAGCTGCTGCCCAGGTACGATATGGATTAGTGGCGCTGATGACTTGAATCCATAGAAAAGCGGATCCCGCATGTTCTCCCGGTGCAATCACACTTCATGCTCTTGACATCCCCTTGTGCCACGCTGCTTCCATCAGGTTAGGCGACTTTTGAGTCGACTCAAAAGTCACTTCATGCTCTTGACATCCCCTTGTGCCACGCTGCTTCCATCAGGTTAGGCGACTTTTGAGTCGACTCAAAAGTCACTTCATGCTCTTCACATCCCCTTGTGCCACGCTGCTTCCATCAGGTTAGGCGACTTTTGAGTCGACTCAAAAGTCACTTCATGCTCTTCACATCCCCTTGTGCCACGCTGCTTCCATCAGGTTAGGCGACTTTTGAGTCGACTCAAAAGTCACTTCATGCTCTTCACATCCCCTTGTGCCACGCTGCTTCCATCAGGCTAGCCTGCAATCACCGTTCGAGGAGCTATTGGAAGGGAGTGAGTCTCCCAGCCCAGAGCATAACCACCAGCACCAGCAACAGCAGCAGCAGTCACAGCCGCTGTCACCGCAGAAGGCTCAGGCGAAGTCGGAGCAGCGCAGCACGGCTAGGCGAAGCATGGATGACTACGAGGCAAGGACGAGCGGGTGGCAGCTTCAGCTGCCCCTGCCGCTCCCACACCGCGCCCAGCAGCAGCAGCAGCAGCAGGAGGGGGGTCAGGTGGGGTTGCGCGGGCTGAAAGCGCGCAGCAGGGCTTTTGTGAACAAGGTCATGACGAAACTGAACGGGCGTGCGGGCATGGGCAGCAGTCCACAGTCGGTGAGCATTTTGAACAACCAGCTGGGGCCCGTCAGGAGCGCGGATGTGGGGATGCTGGGGTCGCCTCGCCTCACCACAGCAGCGCTCCCTTCATCAAGGAGCGTGCGAAGTGAGGCGGAACCCTGGCAACACCACCGCCAGCAACAGCGCCAGCAGCATCAGTATCAGCACCAGCAGCAGCAGCAGCATCAGCTAGCATCGCCATTAGCTTCACCGTTATCATCACCATTATCCTCTTCGCTAACGTCATCCCCACAGCACCAGCATCCGCAGCAGCACCCAAAGAAGCAGCTGGTAACCTTTCCGACAGTGTAAAAGGTGCTGATTGGTCGCCATCAGGTAGTCAGGTGGAAAACAGGTTGCAGAGTGCCTGAGTAGGATGAAACTTGTCTGGTACATTCATATCCTGGGTGACTTGGGTGTTCCCTGTATCGCCTATGTCCGGCTTAGGTATATGCCCTTCGTTAACTTTTCTGAACTCATAAAGCCCCAACAGCGGCCCTTGTGGGAAGCCACTGGGTGAAGTCTTGGTGCACTGGCATAACACTAGATATACCCTAGCAGAGATGCGATGCTGTTCAGGCTAATGGTACCACTGACTGAGTACCCCTCTGCCATTTACTAACTACCGTAACACCTTCACACCACAAACACATCACATCACTCTCCCCTTCTGGTCTGGTCCTGTCACCTTTCACAATCGGCGCTTATCACTCCCATCCCAGTCCCCCAGCAGCATAGCTGCATCTTCTAGAACCACCACAGGCCCAACTACCTCTTTTGAGTCGACTCAAAAAGTCATTAGCTGCAACATGGAGTTTTGAGACGTCTAAAAGCACGCCCTCACTCCCAGTCCCCCAGCACCATAGCTGCATCTTGTTGCACCACCACAGGCCCCACTACCTCTTCCTCCACCCCATCCGCCTCTTCTGCAGCTCCACCTGCCCCCTCCTCTTCCGCCATCCCTGCAGAATCTACTTGGCTAGGTGCTGCCCGGTTGAAAGCTTCCAGCATCGCTCTCAGCCTGCTTGCTTCTTTGCCAAGCCTCTCAAACAGCCCCTCTTCCCCCGCCCTCCACCCCCACTGGCCCGCCTGGTCAAATGGAGGACAGCAAGATTGAGGAGGACGGGGGGGGGAGAAGCACATGAGGAGGGAGGGACGATGCACACATGCGTGCCGTTTGACTGCACGTGACGCGCGTGTCCCTCGGCACTTGATGGCACGCCCTGTCTGTCTCTCAACCGCATGAGAACACTAGGCCACACTGAAGCTCATGTCCCTTTTGAGAAATTTCACAAGGGGTAAACCTGCAAGTGCCCCTGTGTGTCAGTTGGTTCCTGTCTGTCACTTGTTGGCAGAGGGGGGAGGCGGGGCGAAAAGAGCGTTCTGGCGGCGCTGCAGGAAGCGCCAGAAGGGCGTCCAGTTGCCTGGCAGCGGTGCTGCGCGGTTGAATGCTACGAGCAGCATTCTCAGCCGTGCTGCCTCCCCGTCGAGCGAGTCGAACAGGCCTGACTCGCCTGCCCTCCACCCCCACTGGCCCGCCTGTAAGGAGAGAACAGGGTGGGTAATTCACAGACACAGGGTGTTTGAGAATGGCAGCATCAGTGCTGCGGGGTTGAATGCGACATTCTCAGCCGTGCTGCCTCCCCGTCAAGCGAGTCGAACAGGCCTGACTCGCCCGCCCTCCACCCCCACTGGCCCGTCTGGAGAAGAAGCAGAGCGGGTGATTCACAGACACAGGGCGGAGTTGTCGCAAAAGTACCAACACCCCAAACCTTCAGCTCCCTCCAAATACCAAGATAAATCTGTCATGGCTGTTTCCTTGGAATTAATTAAATAATGCCCAAGTATCTAGACCTACTACCAAGTCGCTGAAAGTGGTCTTTTTTACGCGAGCGGAGTTGTCAAGCCCCATCAAGTTGACTTTTGAGTCGACTCAAAAGTAAACTCGATACAATGTCATACGCAAGCGTAGTTGTCAAGCCCCATCAAGTCCTGTAGCACCTTATCATGGTGGTTTATCATGATTACGCGCTACAGACGACAGCTGAACCCCAACCCTACACCACTGAAATTGGACAGCACTACACCATTTCAAGCCTCTCTCTCACCCCACTCCCACCGCAGGCACGTACACGCGCGCACTCTTGTCAAGCCCCATCACGTCCTGCAGCGCAATCACTGTGGTTTATGTCTGCGCTACAGATGACAACTGAGCCCCAACCCTGACCCATTACACCTATGCCCCAACCCTAATCCATGAAGTTCCAATTGCCAGGCCTTACCTGCACAGCAGGTACGTTCATGCGAGCAGAATTGTCCAGACCCATCACGTCCTGCAGCGCAATCACGGTGGTGCGCGCTACAGAAGACACCGCCGCCCGGATGATCGCCCACTGGATCTCCTCCTCCTCCTGGGGCGACAGACCCAGCAGCACACGCACCTGGTGTGGGGGAGAGTGTGCAATGTGATGGTAAGAGGGGAAGGGAGAAAGGTGGGATGGTCTCAGAGAGAAGAATAGCCAGTCACTGGATCTTCTCCGCCTCCTGGCGTGACAGGGATTTTTTGAAAAGTCTAAAAAAATCCCCCTCCGCCTCCTGGGGCGACAGTCCCAGCAGCGTGTGCACCTGGCATGGGGGGGATGGGGGGAGGAGGGGAGGTGGGGTAGAACAGAAGGGGGAAAATGTGAAGTGGTTTCAGGGAGACGGAATAGCCCGTCTTTGAATAATCTCCTCCTCCTGACAGCATGGCAGCACGGCAGCACGACAGCATGGCAGCATGACAGCAAGCAGCATGACAGCATGGCAGCATGACAGCACGACAGCATGGCAGCAGCATGACAGCATGACAGCATGGCAGCAGCATGGCAGCACGACAGCATGGCAGCAGCATGGCAGCATGGCAGCATGGCAGGACTCACATTATTCTTCTCCCACTCGGGAATTTTCTCCCACCAACCAACGACCTGCACATGCACGCAGAGACGCACGCACACACAACACAGACAGAATGGTCACACGTCACGTGCACGAGCAAGTAGAGTGGACAGGAAGCTTTGAAACGTCTCCAAAAAGAACACAGAACATGCACGAGCAGCTCCAGTCAGCAGCAGCATTCATTCAACCACACACAAACAGCAAGCATGTACACCAGCATCCTTATTTTTGAGTCGACTCATTTTGAGTATATATTTGAGTCGTCTCAATTTTGAGTCTATTTTTGAGTCGACTCAATTTTGAGTCTACTTGAGTTGACTCAAAAATACGCACAAACAGCAAGCATGTACTCCAGCATCCCCGCCTCTTACTCACAGTATCCTTGTCATGAGTGCTAGGATGCACCATTTGGTTCTGCCCGTAGGGTGGTATAGGTTCCCACTAAGTTGCTAAGCATACTATCTCGACGCGTCTCACAGCATCCCCCCCACCCACTCACCATCTCAGTGTCATGAGTGCCAGGGTACACCACTTGGTTCTGCTCGTGGTTGCTTTTGAGATGTCTCGAAACCCACTTACTCACCATGTCATTGCCATGCGTCCCACTCACAGCACCCCCACCACCCACCCACCGTGTCGTTGTCGTGAGTCCCCGGGTACACCACTTGGTTCTGCTCGTGGTTGTGCGGCAGGTGAGGGTTCTTGGCGTCACTGCCAAACGCTGTAGGGGGAGGGGAAGGGTTGGGCAAGGTGGGTAGAGTAGAGTGGTGGCACAAGAAATTAAATGCCAAGGCCAATTCATGAACAAGAGGTGCCTCTGAAAGTGAATAGGGGCCTTGGCATTGGTTCCGAGTCGACTCAAAGTAGAAGTTGGCCTTGGCATTGGTGTTGAGGAACGCTGCAGGGAGAAGGGTAGGGCGCAGGGACAAGACGGCCATACACTGAACACCAGGGGATATATCAAGCGATAAGGGATTCCAAACAGGGGACTGTAGCGTTGACTCGCCAAACTGGAGCACCGCCATGTCAGGAGCGCCGATTTCACGACGTTTGAGGCAGCTCAAAAGGTTTTGAGGGGCATGAAACGAGGTGACTTTTGAGTCGACTCAAAATCACCTCTTTGAGGGGCATGAAAATGTCAAAAACTCACCAAACTGGAGCACCGCCATGCCGGGGGCGCCGATTTCACGGCGCAGATCAACCACGTCCACTGTAATCACACCCTGTTACAGTCACACGTTGAAACGGGGGTAAGGAAAGGTAGAATAGAATCACACCCTGCTGTTACAAACGCATGAAGGTAGATCACCGATACCACCCTGTTACAATCATCAAATCGTACCTGTTTTACACCCTCACACACAGACCTCATGCTGCTACAGCTCCGCTCTCTTACAGCCTCATGCCCTCGTGCTCTCATGCTCTCATTCTCTCTCCGCTCTCTCCGCTCTCTCCCCACAGTTCCCAGGGTCAATCACCTACCACCCCCTCACTCCCCCCTCTCAGCCGTTTCCCTCCCTCCCTCCCCCCTCCCAGCCCTCACCAGGTCCTCTGCCACGATGTCAATGGGCTTGTCCACGGCCTTCCGGATAGCCTCAAAGAACTCCTTGCGCGGCCCCATCTGGTGGCATGGTATTTCATGGCATGGAAGAGCAGGGTTGAGAAAAACCCGAAAACGGACGTGTTTGGGTCAAACTTGTATCGAACACATTCAGTGGGTGACCTCAGCAAACTCCTTGCGGGCAGTCTCATCTGGTGGCCATGGCATGGAAGAGCATGGCCATGGCACGGAAGAGCATGGCCATGGCATGGAAGAGCATGGCCATGGCATGGAAGAGCATGGCCATGGCACGGAAGAGCATGGCCATGGCACGGAAGAGCATGGCCATGGCACGGAAGAGCATGGCCATGGCACGGAAGAGCATGGCCATGGCACGGAAGAGCATGGCCATGGCACGGAAGAGCATGGCCATGGCATGGAAGAGCATGGCCATGGCACGGAAGAGCATGGCCATGGCACGGAAGAGCATGGCCATGGCACGGAAGAGCATGGCCATGGCACGGAAGAGCATGGCCATGGCACGGAAGAGCATGGCCATGGCATGCAGTGGGTTGGGAAGATCCTATTTGGAGGGCGCTTGACATTGGTTCATGCAACGATTGTTGTATGAAACGAAGAGGAAGGGAGGGACTGCATACAGTCTGAGTGCATGCCAGGCGAAACAGAGAGGACGAGGGCTTGCCGCCCCATGTAGGCACTAACATTTAAAAGGAAGAACACACACACATGGAAGAAAGAAATAAAGACAAGGAAAGAAATTAAAGAACAGAAAATGAACCATTTGAAGTTACTCACCATCCAGCGGCCGTTCATGGCGGTCTCAGAGTCAGCAGGGATGCTCCAGTAGCCTGCTAGCCGCCGGAAGTGGTCGAACACCCTCCTCATGCGCTCCACCCACACCAGGCGGTGCAAAGCCAACACGCTAAACACAAGCTTCTCACCATCCAGCGGCCGTTCATGGCGATCTCAGAGTCAGCAGGGATGCTCCAGTAGCCTGCTAGCCGCCGGAAGTGGTCGAACACCCTCCTCATGCGCTCCACCCACGCCAGGCGGTGCAAAGCCAACACGCTAAACACAAGCTTCTCACCATCCAGCGGCCGTTCATGGCGGTCTCAGAGTCAGCAGGGATGCTCCAGTACCCCGCGAGCCCGCGAAAGTGGTCGATGCGGAACTCATCGTAGAGGTCAAACGCCCTCCTCATTCGCTTCGCCCACCACGAGTACCCGTCCTTGGCCATGGCTGGCCAGTTGTACAGCGGGCTGGGAGAGAAGGCGGGAGGGTAAGAAGGATTTGAAGGTAAGGGTATGAGGCAAGCCAAGTCAGACTCCACCACACGGCGCGCATCGTAGAGGTCAAACGCCCTCCTCATGCGCTTCGCCCACCACGAGTAGCCGTCCTTGGCCATGGCTGGCCAGTTGTACAGCGGGCTGCAGTGATGGATGGGAGGAGGAGAGAAACAGAGAGACCGAAGGAATTGGATAAGGTCATCGGTGCCTCATCAACAGACCCACCATGCGTACCCCTCCCCTCCTTGGCCATGGCCTGGCCGGCCAGCTGTCAGGGGGCTGCAGAGAAGGCGAGGAAAGGGAGGGACTCTGTTTTAGGCGTGTGATATATAGGCCACGGGCCGCAGGGAAAGGAGGAGAAATGAAGAGAGGGAGTGTGGGAAGGCCAGAAGGGAAGAAGGAAGAAAACTGCTGGTAGAATAGAAGAGGAGAGGGGAGCAGAGGAGTTTGGGGGAGAGGAGGTATGCGCAGTTTGGAGCTTGGACTTGCAACAGGAAGAACGCTGCTTCACGAAGGGAGCTAACCCCTCTCACTTCTTTCTGCCTTATCTCTCCAAAGTCTAAACCCTCTCATCGTGACCAGCTTTATCTTCCCGAGAGCATCCGCCTCCCATATTGGAGCAACTTTTGAGAATTCTCAAAAGTCGCTCCTGAGAGCATCCGCCTCCCCCTGCCCATCACCTGCCCAGTGCCGCCACCACCCCTCACCTCACCCCCCTACTCGCCTCACCTGCCCCACAGCGGCCCCACGGCGCTGAAGGCAACGGGTAGTTGCACCAGCTGCACCCTTACCTTCCCCTCACCTGCCCCCACCCTCACCTTCCCCTCACCTGCCCCCACCCTCACCTGCCCCCACCTTTACCTTCCCCTCACCTGACCCCACCCTCACCTTCCCCTCACCTGCCGCCACCGTCACCTGCCTCTCCTTCCCCCACGCCTCACCTGCCCCACAGCTGCCCCTCACCTGCCCCACAGCTGTCCTGTGGCACTAAAGGCATCGGGCGGCACGCCACTCACGAATGTGGGCTCGCGGGTCTCGGGGTCCTGGCGGGGAGCGAGAGAGGGGCGTGAGAGCATAGTGGAGTTTGTTCCTTAGGTGTCTCAAAAAGCATTCACGAACGTGGGCTCGCGGGTCTCGGGGTCCTGGCGCGGAGCGAGAGAGGGGAGTGGGGTGGGGGGAGAGGGGTGACCAATGAGGCAAGGGATGGGACGGGGTTAGGGGCTGGATGAGGACCGGTGCAGGGGGTCAGCGTATTTTTGAGAATTCAAAGAAAAAAAAAGGATCCTGCAACATCAGGGTCTGGATAAGGACGGTGAGGGATGGGAGCTGGGCGGGGGGGGTGCTCTCTGGGGGGCGTGCTCTCAGAATGAAAGAGTATCATAAGCACATGCAAACCGCCTGCCAGCACCGATGGCTTAGCAGCATCAACACCATACCAGCACGCACAGCACAGCACACCCTACCAGCATGGATTGGTTGGGGTTCGCCCACACGTCAGCGCTGTGCCCGTCCATGTAGATGCACTTGCTGCTACCAGGGGTGTTGCATCACAAGAAGCATGCATGAACAACAATCAACCTACCAGCATGAATTGCTCTGGGCTGGCCCACACATCAACTCAGCGCTGAGTTCATGCCCGCCCACCCACGAAGATGGGCATATCATCCATGATGCTCATGCCCTTGCTGCTAGCAGGGGTCATACATCAGGGCGTCTACCACAAGCGTGCACGAGCAACATGTGTATCAATCAACATGAACGGCCTACCAGCATGAATTGCTCTGGGTTGGCCCACACGTCAGCGCTGTGCCCCCCCACGTAGATAGGCATGTCTCCCATGATGCTGATTCCCTTGCTGTTGGCATACCGGTGCAGCGCCTGCCACTGCCTCTGGAACAGAAACTGCTGCGCCGCAAACTCGTCAATCTGTCATGCACACGCACAGCGGGGGGGAGGGTTGTTGAGTCGATTTTCTGAAGGGGCCAGTGCAGCGCAGCGCCTACAACAACCTCTGAAACAGAGGCCACAACCACCAAAACTCCACATTTTTTTAGTCGACTCAAAAAAAAGGTCGTTGAGCCGATTTTACAAAGGGGCCAGTGCAGCGCCTACAACAGCCTCTGAAACAGAGGCCACAACCACCAAAACTCCACAAAATTACTTACCTATCTACTCTGCTCCCCAGCACCACTCACGTATTCCCTGTGTCTCTCCCTCGCACAGCCTGAGCCTGCGGCTCCCTGTTCCTGAGCTCCTTGGGCCACAACCACCGGAACTCCCGAAGCACCTCAAAAGTAGAACTTCCCACCACTTACGTATTCCTGGTGTCTCTCTCTTGCAGCCGCTAGGGCCTGTGGCTCTCGGTCCTTGAGCTCCTTGGGCCACAGCCACCAGAACTCCACCCCCTGCTCTTCGTCGATAGCGCTGAACAGAGCTGCTTCCTCCAACCATGCTGCCGTGGGAATGAGGGGGTGTGGATGGGGGGAAGGACTGTGCTGAGCCTTTGATTCGTGCCAGAACTCCACTCCCTGCTCGCCGTCGATAGCGCTGAACAGAGCTGCTTCCTCCAACCATGCTGCCGTGGGAATGAGGGGGTGTGGATGGGGGGAAGGACTGTGCTGAGCCTTTGATTCGTGCCAGAACTCCACTCCCTGCTCGCCGTCGATAGCGCTGAACAGAGCTGCTTCCTCCAACCATGCTGCCGTGGGAATGAGGGGGTGTGGATGGGGGGAAGGACTGTGCTGAGCGTTTGATTCGTGCCAGAACTCCGCGCCCTGCTTTTCGTCGAGAGCGCTGAACAGAGCTGCTTCCTCCATGCTGCCGTGGAAAAAGGGGAGGAGCGGGAGAAGGTGGGGAAGGGAAGGAGGGAAATGAGGGGACCGTGCCGGGATTGGAAATAGAACTCCACGCCCTGCTCTTCGTCGATAGCGCTGAACAGCGCTGCTTCCTCCAACCATGCTGCATGGATACGAAAGAAAAGGGAATGGAGGGGCATAGGAGGGGAGGGCACGACGTGGAGGAGGACGTTTTAGTCGAGCCAAAGCTCCTCTCCCTACTTGACTGGATCTTTCCACCTACCACGTGGATCTTCCCACCTATCACGTGGATCTTCCCACCTATCACGTGGATCTTCCCACCTATCACGTGGATCTTCCCACCTATCACGTGGATCTTCCCACCTATCACGTGGATCTTCCCACCTATCACGTGGATCTTCCCACCTATCACGTGGATCTTCCCACCTATGGCACAGACATTCCCACCGTTGGAACTCGGACAATAACAGAGGAACAATAAGATGAAGCATGAATGATGCACATGGAGCAGTGGGAGGGAGTGCGGGGTAGAGGGACGAACCAGAGCAGGAAAACATTGATGGACACATTGCGGGGGGCAAACCAGAGACGGGCCAGAATGAATGAACCGCTGGAGAGGGACGAACGAACCAGAGATGGTGGGGGACTGCCTGAAGGCGTCAAACTCCGCCTTGAGCTCTCCCTTGCTCCTCACCAGTGCTTTGGCCGCCTGTGCTCAGCAGAGATGGGGGTTTGTGGAACTGGAGTGAGTGAGGTGGGTGGACCATGGAGATGGTGGGTTCTGTATTTTCAAATCACTCAATTTTTGCACTCAACAAGTGAGACGTCTCAAATCTTTTATCACTTGTGCCCTGGCCGTCTGATGCAGCAGAGCAGATGGAGGGATATGGCAGTGGGGACTGAGGTGTGGTGAATCATCGTGGCAGCTATCTCAGCAGTGGGTTTGGACAGAGGTGATTGGCAAGGAACAGAGGAAAAAAAAGATCGAATAGCGCCAGGTAGACCACTAGGGAGAGTGATGACGCACCTTGGCAACAGCAGGGTCCTTGTCCCTGATCACTTGCTTGTAATCCACTCTCTCTACCGGGCTGTTGGGGTGGGATACGAAGAGGTAATAATGTGTTTGTTTTGAGGTGTCTCAAAGAACACCTTGGCAACAGCAGGGTCCTTGTCCCTGATCACTTGCTTGTAATCCACTCGCTCTACCGGGCTGTTGAGGAGGGATACGGGGTGGGAACTGCGCGAAAGGGGAGTTGGGGGGAAGAGATGGAGGAGAAGAAAACAAGATGGAATTCGGTAGGAAGGGAGGGAGCATACCACGTGGGAGGGAGGGAGCATACCACGTGGGAAGAAGTGGTCACATTGCGGACTAAATTCACTGCTTTTTGTGCTTACCAATTCAGATCATAGCGCGTAGGAGGGAGGGGGCATACCGCGTGGGAGGGAGGTCCTCAGGCTTGAGGAGGCCATCTTGCACGAGCAGGTCGAGGGAGAGCAGCAGCGTGTTGCCGCAGTTGGCGTCCTGGCGGACGGGAGAGGGGCGTGGGGAGGGAGTGGGGGTTGGGGAGTGGGAGGAAGGGAGGATACGGAGTGGGAGACAGGTCGGAGGGGTCGAGACGCTGACCTCCACGGGCAGGTCAGAGGGAGAGCAGCAGAGATTTGCCGCAGTTGGCGTCCTGGTGGACTGGGGCGTGAGGAATGGGGAGAGAGGAGTTGGGAAGAGAGAGGAAAAGCAGGAAAAGCGCAGGCGAGAGAGGCGGGAAGTGCAGGGACGATGGGGAAAGGTGAGCAGGCCCAGGCCTGATCGGCCCACATCTACTTCCAGGCCTGACATCTACTTCCAGGCCTGACATCTACTTCCAGGCCTACTTCCAGGCCTGACATCTACTTCCAGGCCTGACATCTACTTCCAGGCCTGACATCTACTTCCAGGCCTGACATCTACTTCCAGGCCTGACATCTACTTCCAGGCCTGACATCTACTTCCAGGCCTGACATTACTTCCAGTCCTGACCTTGACAGTTCTGATGGAGGGACGATGGGGAAAGGTGCCCAGGCCCAGGCCTGATCGGCCCACATCTACTTCCAGGCCTGACCTTGACAGTTCTGTACCTGACCAGAATTGGAAGTGCCGTACCTGGCCAGCACAGGGGCTGCTGTACCTGACCAGCATAGGGACTGCCATACCTGGGCAGCATAGGGACTGCCGTACCTGGCCAGCATAGGGACTGCCGTCTTCGCCTGACTTCCTTCCAGGTGGCACCAGCGGCAGCACCTGATTTTTTTTGAAAAAAAGCGCACAGAAATGGTAAGAAAACGCACAGGAACAAATGGATTGCACAGGATTGTTGAATAAATGCTCCAGGAATGAACAGAAGTATTAAGCATTGGTCAGAATCAGAATTTGGAAGCTCTGAAATATCTTCAGACGCTCATGGATCCACGCTCCCACCCATCCCTCCACCCATCCACGCACCCATCCAAACTTCCACGCACACACCCACGCATCCAATCCCCCCAACCGCTCACGCACCCACCTACTCAACCTCCCACGCACCTGCCAGATCGTGCATGCCGTGGACTCGAGCCAACCGATGAAATGCGAAGCAGCGGTCAACAGAATTCACACGCTCTGACGCGTCTCGAAACGTTCATGGATTTACCCACCCACCCATCACCCCACGGATCGGTCCACCCACCCATTCACTCACCCATCCATCCATCCGCTCACCCACCCTCTGCACGCACCTGCCAAATCGTGCATCCCGTGGACTCCAGCCAGTCGAGGAAGTGTGAAGCGATGGTCAGAATTCGAAACGTTCATGGACCCATCCACCCACGCACCCATCCATCCACCCATCCAAACATCGATGCACTCACCCACGCATGCACCTCCCTCCCCACGCACCTGCCAGATTGTGCATCCCGTCGATTCAAGCCAGTCGAGGAACCTGAACGCGCCGGGACCCAAGTCGCCCGTGCCATGCGGGCCGGGAAGCGACGTGGGATGCACCAGCACGCCGCACCGTCGCGCCGGGATCAGCGAATACGGATCCATCCTTTCGTAACCCTCTTGTAACGGCTCGCCAGGAAGGATTTCGCTGCTCTTCGCAGCAGCGGGGGTGGCTGCTGGTTCTGTCGCCATCGCTCGGACAGACTGGCGATCCGCGCGGCAAGATCGAGACGGGGAGCGGGAAATGGGGAGAGGGATGCGGAGAGGCGCGAAGGTCGCTGCCGAGGCGACGCGAGAAGACGCTGATCGGAGGCGGGAATTTGACGATTCAGCCGCTGACGCGACCGATGCGACGGATGCGACGTGCACGACGGGAACTCGCAAGGCGGAAACCATGGCTGTGCGGATCGCTGACTCTCGCGGACGCACGCAAGAACGAGATCAAATCAGGCTTTCTTTCTCAAGTCCAAGCTGAAGGAGAGTCTGAGCCAGATGGGGTGACCAAGCTAGAAGGTAATCAGGCTGGTTTGGCGACAATATCGAGGTGGTGCAATGCAGCCAAGATTCAGGCAGGCTCCGAACCGACCCCAACTGGAATAAACCAACAGGCTGGTGGGAACTGTAGATCCCAAGGTGGTGAAGTCCAAACGAGGTGGATCCAGTTTCCGATTGGTTCATATACAAATTGACAGCGGCTTGCCACCCGCGATTTAAGCAGATCCAACTACACTGGTCAGCGTAGTGCTTTAGGTTGAACTTTAATGGAAAACACTCAAACATGGTGATATAAGAAAAGGCACTTAAAAAGGGGAGTGCAATATAGGCCCGAAACAAGATGAATACTAACCAGCTCACAAATGAGAGAATAATTATTCCCCCTTACGTTGAAAATCAGTACCTAGGCTTGTCTTTTCCTTCTCCCCATCCATTCCAATCCAACTCACTTCCCCTCCCATTCACACTGGCACTGTCATTACTGCTCCGACCCTCCTTACCCAACCGATTGCCAGGTACTTTTTCATTTCCGCTCCAAACCTCTTCCCACCTCGTCTCCCCTTCCCCACCATCACCTCTTTGCAACCCCATCTCCCATCCTTGCTTCTCCTCCACCCTCCCATACTGATCCTCACCTCCCTTCAGAGAGCCACCAGCCCACTGCGTGGCATCGCCCTCCTGCCACCTCCTCTCATCCTGCCATTCCCCATCGCCTGATCCTTGCCAGCTCCCACTCCTTCTGTAACCCCTGTCCTCTGGTTCAGCTCCCCCCTGCCTTTCCCATTCCTGCCATTGCTGCTGTTGCTGCTGCTGCTGCTGCTGCTGCTGCTGCTGCTGCTGCTGCTGCTGCTGCTGCTGCTGCTGCTGCTGCTGCTGCTGCTGCTGCTGCTGCTGCTGCTGCTGCTGCAATGCCCATTGCTCTCTGTCTCTCCAATTCCCCTCTGTGCTACTGAATCCCCTACCCCCACCACCACCTTCCCTGCTCTCCTTCCCCACTCTCTCGGGACTTCCAGGGTCAATCTCCCCACGGATCACGTCCAGCTGGTACCGAACCCACTTCCATGCCTCCGATGCAACCCCCGAACCTAGCGCCGAGCCACTTCCAATCCCCAAACCTGGGCCCAGAGTGTCATCCCAAACCTGTGGCTCCTTCCTCCTTTGAGAATTACTGCTCTGGAACTGGGACCACTGCTCCTGCATCTCCTGCTGTCGCTCTTTCCGACCGTGCAACTCCTTCTCGTTTACGATCGGCCGAACCGAGAGCTCCAGGAGCGCCGAGCCTAGCTCCAGGAACGGCGGGCCGAGCGAGTTTCGGAGGGTGGGTGTGAGAACCACGAGCGCCGCGAGGGAGAGGAAGAGAAAGGGGCGGTCGAAGAGCAGCGGCAGGAGGACTAGAACGAGAGGCACCCCCCAGGGGATGGACGTCAGCAGCTGGGGAGGGAGAAAGGGAAGATAAGAGCAGAGGAGATAATTAGTAGGCGAGGGAGTAACCTCTTCAGTTGACTCAAACGTCTTTCCAGGGGATAAACATCCGAGATTAGGATACGAAGTTTGAAAGTTAACAAAATGCTCTTGCCCCGTTGACTGTCAGGTAACCCAACACTTCACACAGACATGTGAACCAGTGACCTGAACCAGATGCCTTAACCGGACGCTTTGGAACTGCAATGGACTTGCCTCTTTCAATGGTTCAAGAAGGTCGTCGCCGCTCTCCACTCCTCCTCCTGCTCGTCCCCCTTCTCCTCTTCCTCCTCCCATTTCTCTCTCCAGCATTCGCCCAAACTGTCCTTCACTGCGCCCATCCAACCTGCTACTCCACTCCTCTGCACCGCCCTCCAAGCCTCTATCTTCCATCTGCATTCCCCCGCGGCTCCTTGGATCACCTGCCTCGCCACTGGCACGGTTGTACGCGTTATACTCACGCCCATTATAGTCATAATCATAATCATCGCCTTCTTCGCCATAGTCACGTCGTACAGAATCCTCCGGCGGAAATCGACGCTGTTGCCATTCCGCGGCGGCGCTTTCCCCAGCATCCCCGCCACCCGCGTTCCGGCCTATCCCTCCCTCCGCAACTCCGCCGCGTGCGCTCACCACTGCGCCATCAACCATTCCTAACAACCCTCTTTCCCTTTCGCGCCCCCGACCTTGGGATTGCCGCGGCGCAGCCGCACCTCCGCGAGAAGCTTCATCGCCGTTCCGATCGGACGGTCGTCGCCTCCAGCCCTCCGCATTCGAGTCCCAGAATTCCCTTTTTCCGCCGCCGTCGCCGCCGCCGCTGCCGGCGCTGGCCCTGACAGCTCTAAAGGAGCAGCCTACGGGGAATGAAAGATGGCGAAGGCAGAGTATGGACGGAGAAGCATAGTAACCCATCTGAAGCATGCTGTATGTGGGACGGCTGGAATCAGGGTCAAGAGTTTTTAGACATTTGTATATTATACCTTGTTTTTAGCCACCCTCCTTGGCTGACTTTGCGTACCTTGGTGTTGGTTCTTGAGACCTCATTGGGGGTCTCAACCTAGGATTGCAGTTGGGCCATTGCTAGTTAGGTAGCCTCCTGATGGTCAAATCCGTCTGTATCTTTTGTACACATATACATTGTAAATAAAGCGGTTAGAATCCCACGTTGTGGCCGTGGAGACCCGGGCTCGAATCCCGGCACCGACACTTTTGCTTCTTGCGAGATTGACTTACATTTTGCAAAAAAAATCAACTCAGTGTGCAGGCTACTCGTCCCCACCCCCCGGATCCTGCGATAGATCGTGCAGAATCAATCCTCCACTGCACTAAAATCCTTCTTGCTGCATTCACAACTACCAGAACATTCTCTAGCCCCGGAAAAAAACAATCCTGCGCAGGATCGATCGCAGGATCGAGGGGGGGGAGGGGGTGGGGGGACGCGTCCTAATCGTGTGTGAGGTGGTTCACTCAAAAGGCTGAATCTGCATGTGTGAAAAGTGTTTTTGCAAGTGTGTCAAAAAACTCCACAATTGCTAAACATCAGGACAGCAGCAGGTACGGTACGACAGAAGCAACAGCAGCAGGAAGGAAGCGTGATGCCTAGAGCAGCATGGAGCAGAGGTCGCAGAGGAAACTGGCGGGAGGTTCAGAGAAACCCGCACAGCGTGTGTGTTGCCACACCTCACACCTGGTGGGTGTGATGGGAGCGAGGCGAGGAGGGAGTGGGAGAGAATTGAGGAAATAGGCAGCAAGAAATGGATAGGGGAGAGGGAGAGGGAAGAGGGAGAGGAAACGAGAGGAAGGGTTTCTGAAATCATATATAAGAAGGATGTGGACAAACAGTCCAGAGGGAGGAGGGGAGGGATAAAGACAGAACTAGTGAAGGGTTTCTGCCCACGTGGCAGCTCACTGCAAGCTCCATGCACCCACAGAGAAGCCCAGTAGTTACACTGACCAATCACCATCCAGTATCTTTTCCACTGACAGGCCCCACTGACTTATCGCATGCCACCACCTGTCCCACTCGCCTATCACAAACAGCCACTTGTCCCGCTCGCCTATCACAAACAGCCACCTGTCCCGCTCACCTATCACACACCGCCATCTGTCCCAAGTCCCACTGACCTATCACACGCCACCATCTGTCCCAACTCCCACTGACCTATCACACGCCACCATCTGTCCCATCCCAACTCCCACTGACCTATCACACGCCACCATCCGTCCCAACTCCCACTGACCTATCACACGCCACCATCTGTCCCAACTCCCACTGACCTATCACACGCCACCATCTGTTCGCCGTCGTCATCCCTCGTGCCACAGCTGCACTCCACCACCCACCCCTCCGAACCTCCCTCCCAGCACAGGTCCGAGCCTGCATCCATGCCTGAGCCCCGGACCAGCACTACGCAGCGAGGGCTGAGGTTTGGCCGGACCAAGGCAGTGGACTGTAGATGAGCGAGCAGGGGGAGCTGAGATACACTGAATCTGGACATGGCACAGTAGGTGTCCCTGTAGGGAGAGGAGTTGAGAGTCCGAGGGGAGGGAGAGGAAAGGGGGAGAACAAGAGGGGTGAGAAGGGAAGAGGAGTGTGGAGGGAAGCGTATGTTCAGGAGGCTTATACAGAGGGATTCAGGAATAGACTGGTTTATTTTTTTTCTCAATCTGTAACGCTCCCAACCTTGCCTCATAGTCCCTACAAGGTCCGTCATACCCCTTGTTGCCTTACTCGATACCCCTTATTGCCTTACCTCATGCTCCTCTCTATCGCCTCGCCGAGTTGTGCCACAGTAGCATGAGTGGGCACCACCACATACTCCACTGGTATCGGCCCCAGCCGCCTCTACCTGTGAAACTCCCAACCTTACACCCCATATAACCGTACTGTACACCCTTTATTGCCTTACCTCATGGTCCTCTCTATCGCTTCGCTGAGTTGTGCCACAGTAGCATCAGTGGGCACCGCCACGTATTCAACCGGTATCGGCCCCAGCCGCCTCTGCCTTGACACAGGCTCCGCCCCTCTTGCTGCCACTGCTGCTCGTGCTCCTGCTGCAATTCCTGCTGTTGCTTCTTTTGCTCCTGCTGCGATTCCCGCTACTGTTGCTTTAGTTGCTGCAGTTGCTGTTGCTGCTGCTGCGGGTGCTGTTGTTGTCCCTGCTGCTGCTTGCGCAGCACTGGCCATCTCGCCTGTTCCAGGCTCTGCCACTCCTCCAGTGATCGATTTTCCACCTGCGCCTCCTTCAACTTTCAATGCAGCAGCCTCTCTCTCCTTCCCAGCTCTTTCCTTCCTCTCCCCACTCCCCTCCCTCTCCTCCTCCTCACTTTCCTCCACCACCACTCGAAACGCCACACACATCAACCCATCCGCTTCTCTTTCTCCCACTCCGCGCCCCTCCTCCCCCCAGTACCCCTTCACCAAGTGCTTTGTGTCCAGCACCACCCGCACCAGCGCCAGCAGCCCCTCTGCACCAGCCGCACCCGCACAGCCACCACCCCCACCAATAACGTTGCTGCCAGCATACAAAGGGTGGCACGGGCTAGCACGAGGAGAATAGATGCCTTTCTGCAGATGCCGGTTGGGAGGAAAGGCCATGCCAGCACAGGTAGGAAGCAAGGGCCTGGCAGCAAAGGTGGGGTGGACGCGTCTGGCAGCGCCTTCGAGGAGGTTGCGGTAGAGGTAGCGCAGATGCGGCTCCACTGGGCTGCTCGTTGCTGCCAGTGTCACCACTGCGACACCCTGCTGCTGCTTCTGCTGCTGCTGGCTTGCTTCTTCCCCAGTCATAGGAGCAGCAACTGCCGCTCTTCCATGACTGAGAGTTGACGGAGACTTGAAGGCCTGCATTTTGCTAAAATCTGCCGCTTTACTAAGTGCCAGTGCTCTAGAACCCGTGCTCTTGCTGTGATTGAAATCCCCGCGTTGCTTGCCTTCTACTCTCTCCCCTCCTTCCCCTCCCTCCCCTCCTCCTACTACACTACCCGCTTCCCTGTGTGGTCCAGCCCCTGTCTCGCCCTGAGCCCCGAACCCCACAAGCTGAGGGCCCCAGGGGGTCGGGAGAGGGGCAGAGAGCTTGGGAAATATTTCAATTGATGTCAACATTGGTGCAACATGCTGCTGCTGAGACGCCTTAAAGGGAGGTGCGACAGAGGCGGCATGAATTTGAGGCGCTCCAGAAGACAGTGGGGGGGGTATGGCCTGGGCTTCCCCGCAACAGAGGCTGGGCTGGAGGGCAGCGGGCTTGGGGAGAACGGGAGGAGGTGCAGGAGGGCCGATGGGGCAGGTTGATCCATCTGCTGCTTGCAATTTTCCCCCAGCGACCGAGGGAGTGGAGACTGTGGTGCAATGAGCTGTCTCCCGCGTTTCTGCACCTTCACCTTTACCTGCACCTGCACCTTCACCTTCTCGCCTCCTGCGTTGCGGAAAACGAACGGCACCCCCAACAGTAATACCCTCCTCCACAATCTCCCCCTCCACAGCATCATCTTCAACAGCATCCAAAGCGCTCCTCTCTACACACAGCTCCCCCCTTTTCTCCACTCCACTGTCCTCTATCCCAGCTTTTGCTGACCCTTGAGTCGACTTACTAGCGATTCTTGCCACTCTAACCACCCCGCCACCCTCCCCACACTTTACTCTCTTGCACTCCTGCTCCCCAAATTCGTCCTCTTCTCTCCTCTCCTTCCCCTTCTCTACCCTGTCCCTCTCTCTCCTTGGCCTCTCGTCCCTCCCTGCCTTCCGCTCCTTTTCCGCTCTCCCTTCCAACTGCTCCCTCCCCTCCGCAACTCCCCGTTCTCCCATTTCCCCTTTCCTTTCCCAGTGTTCTTGCAACCCATCATGCACTGCTTCAGTCTTCACCTTCTCTCTCTGCTGCCCTGCCGCCTCCCTCCCCACTCCTGCCGCTACAACCTCTGCAACCTCTGCCTCAGTCAGACCTTCGATTCCATTCAGTGGCACCTTCCCTCTCCACTTCCCACCCTCTCTCCCTCTCCCACTCCCACTGCGCTTCTGACTTATCTCCTCCGCCGCAATTACAGATCCCTTGACTTCTGAGATCCGACCACATTGCTTGTTTGCACCCGGTAACGGCATCTGCTTCTGCACCCGTTCGTGTGTGTGCCGCTTGCAATCAGACCTCAACAAGGTGACGCCTTCCCCAACAGCAGCGGCAGCGGCAGGGGCAGCGGCAGCAGCAGCACCAGCCACAGCAGCAGCACCAGCCACAGCAGCAGCAGCAGCACCAGCCACAGCAGCAGCAGCAGCAGCGGCAGCAGCCACAGGTGTAGTCACAAAGCCACCAACTTGACCAACGTCCTCCACTCTGCATCCAGCCCGCGGCTTTCTCTCCTCTTGCTCCTGCCCCTGAACACCCGTTACTTCACCACCTTCCTCTCCTACCTGTTGCAACGTTGCCTGCTTCGACTTGCTCTTCTTCAGATTTTTTTGCTGTTGCTGCTGCTGCTGCTGCTGCTGCTGCTGCTGCTCATGCTCTCGTCTCTTCTTTGAAGCAACAGGCAGATGCAGACTCTCTTCTGCTATTGAGCCCTTACCTCTCTCACAACCTGATCTGCTCCTCAAAGGAAGCAGGGCGTGCAAGTTCCTCCTTTCACTCGCTACACTGTCACCATTCTCCCTCCTAATGATTCTGTTCTCCCTCCTCTCACTCAGTGCGGCCTCTTTTCTCTTTGCACCACTACTCACCTTCCCTTCGCCCTCGCATTCATCCTCTCTGCCATTCCTTCCATTCACCCCTCCATTCTTCACATATGCCGTCTCTGCTGGCCGTTTCAACTGCTTCTGTACACTACTCATTTTCTCAGAATCCTTTCTCTCATTATCTGCCCTTTCGCCAAGACAAGAAGTTCCTCTATTTACAGTCTGCCTGTTACCCAAATCAGCAGCGATTCGCTTCCCGTTCCGTCCGCCTGCAACAGAGTTTCCAGTTGTCTGAAAACTCTTCCCGTTGAGTCCCTTCTTATTTACGAAAGCCCTGTCAGCAGATGACACCTTTGACTCGCCTTTCAAGCTACATTCCCTGCTTTGGAACAACTCTCTCTTATCCACATTCGCAACCCCTTTTCCTCCATCTGCACCCCCTTTTCCACCATCCGCACCCCCCTTCCCTCCATCTGCACCGCTCTTCCCTCCATCTGCACCACTCTTCCCTCCATCTACATTGCCCTTCCCTCCATCTGTACCGCTCTTCCCTCCATCTGTATCCCCCCGCAGCGCCCATCGCCTCCCTTTCCGCCCACTGCCCTCATCCACTTCCCCTTTATCCACCATCACATCCTCCTCCCAACCCCATTCCTCCTCCTCCTCTTTCTCTTTTCCTCCCTCCCACTCCTCCTTCTTCTCCTCCTTCTCCTTCTCCTCCCTCCCTTCCTCCTCATTCTCCAGCCCCTCCTCCCCTTCTTCCTCCTTCTTCCCCCCCTCCTCATCCTCCTCTTCTAGAACTCCCGCCGTTGCCCTCAGGTCGCACTTTCTCCTCACCACTGCACCATCTGCGCCTCTTCTCTCCCACTGCTCCCCTAAGAACTTCACTTCTCCCCCTGCTTCCCCCGCTTCGGAAGCTTCCGCCGCTTTCCCTGCTTCTCCCTCCTGGTTGAAGCCCTTTAATGCCACCCCCGTCGTATGGAACACTTGCTCCTCTTCCCCCACCTCGTTCACCTCCTCCTCGTCCTCCTCTTCTACTTCCACGCCCTCCCCCTCCTGCTCATCCCCCTGACCCTCCATCTTCTCCTCCCTCTCATTCCCCTTCCCCTCCTCCCCTTTCACTTCCTCCTCCCCCCTCACCTCCCCCTCCAACAATCCGCACCCATACTCACCGCCACACCGCATCGCCTCACCCCTCAGCTCCTCCTCCCACGCGTCCAGCCCCCACCACCCCGCACCATCACCGCCTGCATGCTCTGCATACCACCCGAGCTCCTCACACTCCCCACCTGGTGCATACAGACCCCTGTAGTCATAAGCCCCACATTCATTCTCATAAGCCTCCTCACAACCTTTTCCCCCACCATCCCTCCCCTCACAATATCCCTGCTTACAGTCCTCCTCACAGTTCTCCTCCTCATAATGCTTCCCTTCACAATCCCTCTCTTCACACACTTCCTTATGACAGCCCTCCTCCTTAGAGTCACGCAAATTCACACGCTTTCCAACCCCACCCGTCTGCCCCTCGTGTTCCAAAGCCCCATACACAGCACATTCCCTCCCCGCCTTGCCTCCAGACACTCCCTTCTCTCTCCCACCTCTTCGACTAACAGCAGCCGCTGCTGCCTCTTCCCCTGCTAGCCGATCACACTCCCCTGTGGCATCCGGACCATTAGCATCAGCATCCCCTGTGGCATACGGCCTATTAACATCAGCATCCCCTGTGGCATACGGCCTATTAACATCAGCATCCCCTGTGGCATACGGCTTATTAACATCAGCATCCCCTGTGGCATGCGGCCTATTAACATCAGCATCCCCTGTGGCATGCGGCCTATTAACATCAGCATCCCCTGTGGCATGCGGCCTATCAGCATCCCCTAGGGCACCTGGAGTACCGGCATCCCCTGGAGAATCTGCCAGCAGCGCCTTGAGCTCACCATTCCCCCCTCGCCCTCTTCCCCCACGCACCCCTTTTCCTCTGCCTCCCCTCCCTGCCCCTCCACCTGCTCTTCCCGTCCCCACTGCTCCTGCTGCCGCTGCCGCTGCCGCTGCTGCTGCTGATGCTTCTGCCACTGCTTTTCTTGCTACTGCTCCTCCTATTGCTTCTCCTGCTGCTGTCTTTCTCATCAACTTTTTTCCACCCTCTGCTGCACCACTAGCAGATTCGCCTCGTCCCCTGCCCCTGCTCCGCCCTCCCCCTCCCCTTCCTACCCCTCTCCCTCTCCCTCTCCCCACCCCTATCCCCTTGCCACCGAAACTGCCTCTGCCCCTTCCGACCCTCCCTCCTCTCCCCCCTCTCCTCCCTGCCGCCCCTCTCCACTCCCCTTTCTCCCAGTCCACGTCATCACTGGCCTCATCCACGTCATCACTCTCCTCTGATGAGCTGGACGATTCCTCATCGCTCTTGAAAACGTTCACCTGTGATCTGCCTCTCGGTCTCCCCCCAACCTTCACATCTTCTCCCACTGCCCCTCCCGCTGCTGCCCCCCCTGCCCGTGCTTCCACTCCACTCGACTCCTCTTTTCCCCTCATTCCCCCAGCGTCTCCTCGACTCACAAGCCCTTTTCCTCCCCTTATTACTCCCCCATACGAATCTTTCTCTTCACCTCCCTCTGCTTTAAGGCGTTTAGACGGAATGATGCTAATACCAGACGACCTAACGGCGTCTCTTCCTTGTCTGCTTCTGGGGGAGGTGACATCTCTACCTGCCGTAACCTTTCCACTTTTGGCACCTGGGATTCCAGGTAAACCATCAGGTGCTTCTACAGCATTATTCAGCCTACTTCTACTGTCAGGTTGTTCTGCTGGAAGGCCCACGCTCGGGTTATCTCTAAGAATCACGTTAATGACGCCTCTATCAGCAGCAACGTCACTTTCCGAGCCTGCATTTACCCCAGCACTTCTGTCCCGCGCCTCTCTTTCAGGCTTCACCCAGACTCTGAAGCTAGGCTCGGCAGTCAGCGTGGGTACCGAAGCTGTGCCGAGCCTGGTCCGGGGGGAAAGCGGGGACGGTTCGTAAACTTGACTCTGCCCCTTGAAACGCATTCGGGGAGTGAGAGGGGGTGGGCTCTTGAGGCTTGCGGAATGAGATGGAGAACGGCCGAGAGGCTGGGGCGAAGAAAGTGCATTCTCTACTGTAACTGGGCTGGATAGACGGTGAAGCGTTAGTGGAGAGAGAGTAAGTGAAGGGGATGCTAGTGGGGAGGAATTTTGTGAAGGACGCCAAGTCAGAGGTTGGGATGTCAGTGGGGAAGGAGTCAGTCTCCGGCTTAAGTCAGGTGACAGAGGGAGGGAGGCAGAATGTACACTGCTAGGAGTGGCATCGGCAGCAGGTTTGGCTTTCCAGCTGCCGATGCTATTAGCTGTAGCAGCGGCAGCTGTAGCAGCGGGAGCTGCAGCAGCAGCAGTCTCAATGGCAGCAGCAGAGGCAGCAGGAGCAGCAGCAGGGGTGGCAGAAGGACGTGATGACAGCAGTTCGAGCATCAGCCTCAGAAGCTGGCCTAGCGTTTTCAAACTTTCGCCTTGGCCCAGTTGGGGGAGAACAGAATGCGGGCGAGTTGAGGCATTGGAGACAGTAGCATGGGGTGCTGTAGCGAGGAAGGCTGTAGCGTGGGGAGGTGGAGCATGGGATGGCTGTGGGCATTGTATTGCTTGGGAGGCCATAGGCCCTTGGTCTGTTCTTGGTGCATGTGCGTCTATGTGCAACCCTGCTGCAGATGCTGCTGCTAGTGGTGCTGGTAACCCTGCCGTCTGTGCCAGTGCTGCTGCGGCTGGTCCTGATGCTGCTGCTGCTGCTGCTGGTGAGAACTGTGTCTTATTAGTATGAAGTGGTGTTGCATGCGTTGCTGGGACGGTACATGTCACTTGTGGTGTGTCGTGCATACCCAGAGCAGGAGCAGGGAGGGAGCAGGTGTTCTCACTAGCCCACGTCCTGTAATGCTCAATAATGCCAACCAAGTCCTGAAAACAGAGGACAGGAAAAAGCACAAGACAAACTGAATTCATGCCCCCCACTTCCCCCAGGACAAAGAAACCTCTAGGCCACCAGAAACCATTCTAGGGCAGAAACTACTCAGCATATTTACACTGCAAAGCAGACTTCGTTATACTCACAGGGTCCAACCCCCTGTAGTGCTCTTCAATCGCCACAAGCGGGGTCGCGGCCGCGGCTGCGAGTGCGTGCTTGTACACGTCTTCAGTCACGCCGTAACACCCCTTGCCGAAGCGGTAACCCCACCGGCCGTACCACGAGTGGCCGTACGCCAGCCCATGCAGCAGACGCAGGTTCAGACCCATCTTTTTAGACATGTCCATGCAAGTCACCTCCCTGTAGGGCGGAGAACGAAACATTGGGACGATGAACAAATGGTGATGTAAACAGCCTCAGAGTCTCAGCCTCAAGACACGCAGGTCCACACCAGACCCAGCTTCTTGGACATGTCCGCCCATGCATGTCATGTCACCTCCCTGTAGGGCGGAGAAAAATGATTGGAATGGTTGATATGTCAGTCAGTTGCCTCAGCCTCAAGTCACTCAGCTTGTCCATCATTGACAGACCATGCATGGCATGGCATCTCCTTGTGGGGCAGAGAGCACATGACAAAACACCATCCTTGCTCACCTGGCGTTGAGCATGGTGCAAATGCGGTCCCACAGGCCCATCAGCTGCCGCCCAGTGACAAGGCGTGAGCCGCGTTCTCGGCCGTTGATTCGTAGGAGGTGGCCAAATCCGTTGGTGTGGATCACTCCATGCAGCAGGTGCGTCTGAGACTCCAGTAAGGTCCCCCGCACTGCATCATGCCCACATGCAGTGCACCTGGACAGGACCCACGGGGCAATGGAACATACAGTACAATAGCAGAGGCAATGAATCAGGGAATGAAGTACAATCAACTACCGTTTGGCGTCGAATGCGACTCTGACCGTTCGGCATTGGAGGCCAAAAGAAACTCACCGCTTGGCGTTGGAGGCGATGACGGCGCTGCAGTTGGGGCAGAGCTTGCGGCCTTTGCCGATGCCCTGGCTGTTGTTCTCGTCCACGTCAGCCACAAGCGGAATGATGAAATGGTAGCGGTGCACTGATACAGGGTGGTGACTCCACCCTGCACAACCGGACATGAAAACGCGGAGTACACCCGCGCACACAGAAACACACAGAACCACACACACACGCATGCACAAAACAAACTCATGAACACACACAAACACCCACACACACATCCACCCATCCACACAAATACACACGCACATACTCAGACGGCGATATGACCCGTGAGCACACAACTGTAGAGCCCACCCGTGACGGACATATGTACACCCTAAAGTACACACGTGCTACTATTTGAAGCACATACGCGCTACCATTCAACGCACACCGTTCAAGTTCAGAAGGTTATTCTTCCAAAGTTGATGCGCCTTCGCCATGCAACACATGCTGGTAAATAGGTCTTCGCGTTACGTTTTGAGTAATTCCACACGCTTGTCACGGTACTTTCGATTCTTGGGTAGAAAGTCGCACATACTTCGCTCCAACGGAATGCCGTCTTTAACTGCCTACTAACTACTAGGCGATTAGGTCCAGGCGCACCTGCCACGCGGCAGTTGTCGCAGTGAGCGCGGCCCGAAGCTTGCACGTTCTCCTCGAGTACACGCAAGCCGATGCGGTGGCCCTTGTCGTCTTGCAGGCGAATCGTCCATGAAGCGACACCCTCGATGTTACACGAATCGGGCTCTGCGAAATCGCGTATTAACTTCTGAACAAGTTGGCGAAAAGGAAATGGACCACGGGGAAAGTCCGCGGGACACTCATTGGTGCCGAAAAGCGCAAAAGAGAAGGCCCCGTGGACCTTTCGTCGCTTGCTTGCTCTGTGAAGTACCATCGTGAGCGGAACTGATACGCTTCGAAATACGACTAGTGGTTGTTGCAGAAATTATAGCGGCATACACGCCATCATCGCGCTCTAACCTGATGGATTCTAAGCTCCAAGCTGCAGACTGCAAGTGACGGGAACCAAAACTAGCGGGCAGCACGCGATTAGGGTTTCAGAGGAGGAGATGCAGAAATGCGAATCGGAGACTGCGTCTTTGGCCTGTGGTTGGCTCATCCACTCGACTCGAGTCGACAATTTCAATGGTGGCTGCGACCTCGGGTTGATCAATCGTGGGCAGGAACACTACGGTAGGTGCCTCCGAGTGACAACTGTGCTGGTGAAGTGAGGGCGAGAGCACCAATCAGCTGTCTTGCCGCCTTTGAGATTCCCCTAAGCACCTCATTTGAAGGTTTGAGTAGGGACTCTGGGAACAAATGATACCAGCTTGTCACGCTACACTACCAATATGTGTGGATTATGGTTTGGATATGAGTAGGGATATTGAGAAATGCAATGAAAGCTCTACCACCATAATTTCATTATTCATAGATATTATCCAGGACAGCATTCCTATCTGTTATTATATCAGAAACGCGACATATCTAGCCATACATGTGTTTCTGAGGGTAAAACGAATCTGATTACAATAGCATCGTTAATAACCGCAGTATTCGTAACTTCTTGTTACGGGTGCAATGAATCGAAGTATGCGAGGATTGCACAAAGGTGTCAAACGAGTACAAATGTGAGCGAAGGCATGAGCGAACATTTATACGCGAAACATGCAAACGGTAACGCGGTGCGTGCGAGCTAGCTAGTGCTACGCTGGAGCGAGGCTCGGGCTAGTCCCGAAGCGTAGGCCGACTCGGCCAGGCCAGCAGTGCGAGGTTTGGTGAAACAGTGCGCGCGAAGTCGGCGAAGCCCCGTTAGCAGTAACGGGCGAACAACGGCTGCTGCTGTACGCGATGTTGCAGGGTGCGCTAAGGAATATCGAGAAAATTCCTTACACTACCCCCCCCCTCAAGAAGCCCCCTCCGCTACGCGAGTGCGTGAATATCGCGGAAGCCCCGGCTCCTCAGGCACACTTGCAGGGCAGGGTGGTTTTCGATGTTGGCCATGGGCACCCAGCTGTCCTCAGTTGGCGTGCGATCCTTCCAGCGAACGAGGAATTCAATCCTCTTGATTCCCGTGGGGTGTCGAATTCGATGGCTCAGGATTTTTTCGGGCGCGACGATCGGCTCCGAGGCAGGGCGAGTCATGGATGGCGGGCGGTGGCGAGGCAGTTGGCTTGTGGTTGGGATGTAGGGGCGAAGCAGGCTGACGTGGAACGAAGGGCTGATGTACCAGTCGGTCGGTAACAGTAGGTGCGCGGTTACTGGCGTGATCATGTGGCTGATTTGGAATGGGCCACAGTAGCGCGGTCGAAGTTTTGGTACGTCGGGCAGTCGCAGATTTTGCGTGTCGAGAAGTACGTAATCCCCTGACTGGTATGTGACTGGGCGGCGGTGGCGGTCAGCGTTGCGCTTAGCGATGACGTTTGCTTTTTTAATTGCTTCTGCGGCTCTGGTGCGGGCAGCTTGCAGAATTTCGGCGAATTGCTGTGCACGTGGTGTTGGGTTTGTCCGGACTCGGCGTCATGGGCACTGTAGGGTTTTGCCCGTAGTTCAGGTAGAATGGGGACTGCTGCGTCGTCGCAGGCGTGGCATTGTTGTACGCGAACTCGATCAGCGGCAGCTGCTGCTCCCAAGTCGTGGGGTCGTCGCACGTGGCACGAATCAACTGCTCCATCGTCTAATTCGTCCGCTCCGTTTGACCGTCGGTCTCGGGGTGGTACGACGAACTGAACTGTAGCCTGGTCACGAACTGCTCCCAGAGATTTTTCCAGAAGTTGCTGGTAAACTTCGTGTCCCTGTCGCTGATAATCGCTGCTGGTATCCCGTGCAGGCGAACAACGGCTGCGATGAACAGACGAGCGGTCTCCTCGGCTGAGATCGACTTTTTGCACGCAGCGAAGTGTGCCATCTTCGTCAACCTGTCAACGACGACCATCACCGCGTCGTTACCCCCAGGGTTCGAAGGTAACCCTGTGACGAAGTCCATGGTAACCTGCTGACAGGCGCGCTCGGGCGGTGGTATCGGCTGCAATTGACCCGCCTTCCGCTTCCTCGAGCTTTTCATCACCTGACACGTGGGGCACGAGCCCACGTGCTGCTGTACGTCGGTCAACAGCTCCGGCCAGTAGTAATACCGCTGCAGTTGCTGTCGTGTTTTTTCTACCCCAAAATGTCCTGAGGTAATTCCGTCATGTGCCTCCTGCAGTAGCAGCTCCCTCAGTAGTGAGTACGCGGGTACCCAGATGCGGTTGGTGCCTGTTTTTACGTAATAAACTCCTTTAGCTTTTGCCAGCTGCTGTGAGTTTCCACTCGTGAAAAATGGGTCGGTGCGGTATCCGTGGGTGAATAGGCCTGTTAAAAGCGGGTTGGTCTGGGCGAGTAGAATGGCGTGGAGTTGGGCGGTAGGGCGGGTGAGTGCGTCGGCGATGTTGGATGCGCCTTTCTTGTACGTAACCGTGTAGTGGAAGTTGGATTCGAGGTAGTCCAACCAGCGAATCTGTCGCGGGTTGAGATTTGGTTGGGCGCGTAGGTACTGTAGTGATCGGTGGTCTGTCCGTACTGTCACATCGGCGCCAGTCAGGTAACACCGCCAAACTTTGAACGCGTGCACGATCGCCAACATTTCGCGGTCGTGTATCGGGTAGTTGCGTTCGGGCGGGTGCAGTTTGCGGGACTCGTACGCGATTGGCTGGAGGCCGTTCCCGAAATCCTGCAACAGTACTGCTCCCACAGCGATGTCACTTGCGTCAGTGACGAGCTCGAACGGACGGTGGGGATCTGCGATGTGAAGCACGGGCGGTGAGCACAAAATGTTTTTGAGGGCCGAGAAGGTAGCTTGCTCTTTCTCCCCCCACGTGTACTCAACCCCCTTCCTCAGCAGGTCTGTCAACGAGGCAGTCAGCTTCGCCATGTCGGGGACGAACCGGCGCACGTAGTTGACGAACCCCAAAAAACTCTGCAACTCGGTCAAGTCGGTCGGCGCGTGCCATGCTTGAATCGTCGCAATTTTCTTCGGGTCTATTTCCACTCCTGCAGCTGAAATAACGTGTCCCAAAAACTCCAGGCGATCCTGTAAAAATTCACACTTAGACGCTTTTGTCAGTAGGCGGTTCTCACTCAGTATTTTAAAAACTGCTTCGATGTCCTGTAAGTGCTGTGCTCTGTCAGGGCTGTAAATCAGTATGACGTCTAGGTATACTATGACGCACTTATCTAAGAGCGGGCGGAAAGCTTCGTTCATGGTCATTTGAAAAGTGGAGGGGGCGTTGGTCAGTCCGAAAGGCATGACGGTGTATTCGAAGGATCCGTAGCGTGTGCGGAATGCGGTCTTAGGGCAGTCGGGCGGGTTGACGCGAATCTGGTGGTAACCCCCTCGGAGGTCAATCTTCGAGAAAACCCGGGCTGTGCGCAGTTGGTCGATCAGTTCGTCGGCTCGCGGGATGGGGTAACGGGATTTGATGGTAACCCTGTTCAGTGCTCTGTAGTCTATGCACATGCGAAATCCCCCGTCTTTTTTCGGTGTGAACAGTATCGGTGCTGCGAAAGGCGACGAACTAGGGCGGATGAATTCCTTCTCGAGCACGTAATCGAGCTGCTTCCTCAGTTCGTCCAGTTCGGGCTGGGTCAGTCGGAACTGTCGCTGTACTGTTGGCTGTGCCCCCGGTTCGAGCTCTATCCTGTGGTCGTGCGGTCGCTGAGGTGGCAGTCCCGTCGGTAAATCATCCGGGAAAATGTCGCTGTACTGCTTCAACAGTGCTGCCAGATCACTCGGTACGTCGGCCAGCAGTTTCTGTAAATCCCCTCCTTTGTCTGCTGCTGCGGCTTCCCGAATGTCGACCGCGTACACGTCAGCTCCTGCCGCTACGGCGCGTTTCATCGTGATCGCGTTGACACGCACCGACGAAGACTCAGGCGAGCCCCAGCGAGGTAGGGTGATGTTGTTATCGTTCACTCGCACGGTGCAGTCACCCGTCGTCCAGTCGATTCGCGGATTGTGTCGTCGCAGCCAATCACGCCCGAGTAAAATATCGGTTCCGTCGAGGGTCGTTGCGAGCATTTCCTGGCTAAACGTGAAGTTACCCCCACATCGAATCCGAACCCGGTCTACGCGTTCTCGTATTGCCAACGGCGTGCC